AATATGTTTTGGAGAGAAACTTAGTATCCAGGAATCTTTTAGAAAAGTACAGACAATATTCTTAGAATATGCAGTAAGACAAAAGATTCAACGTAACTTCATTCTTTCTTTTACTTAATTTATTAATACAAAAATGCTTACAAAATACAAACGGCTAATTTATAAATTATTTTATGATCTTAACAGTTAAGAGTAAGTTAAGGCTTAATTTGACGTAACAAGAAATAATAAAAATTAATTATTGACCGAAATGATTATTGTTTGTACATAGATCAACATTATCCTACTACATATCAATGGTGCTCGGTGAAACTAAACAACATTTCAAAGACTAATAACACTGTACCAGATAATGATATAGATTCAGATAGAAAACCAGTATAATCTACAGGACCTATTGTTAGTTGTATTGCTATTTTATGTAATTTATTACCTTACATTGTATTTAAAAAATATTTAATATTTAAAAAAACAGGGAAACTCACTTTTACTTTATAAATTATACTACCTAATTATGATCCAAGTGTAAATCGTTACTTTTAAAATATTTATTTATTTTATACAAATTTGTGATATTTAGAATACTAAATAAACAGATTGTATTAACATAATTGTATAAGCCAATCGATCTTATGATTTTGAGAAATATTAACTTTATGTGATTTTTATAATAATATAAAAAATAAACTCATAAAACTATTTTGTTGTAAGAATTTGTCAATGCTTGAATGCTGTACCGCCACAGTTGAGATAGAAACTTTTATATTACCTACCTATTATTTATTAGTATAATATTCTGTGAATTAGGCATCAATTAGGTACTATAAAACATATACGATATACCTATAAACATACCTATGAACAGCGCTTAGAGAGAGAGGTCAGGGGTACGATATAGAGTAAAAGAGAAAAGAGAACTTGGGGGAAATAGTGTTAGTTTCATATGTCTATGAATAAATGTACACATTAAAATAATAACAATTACTCAACTAATAAGGATTATTATAAAATATCTGATACACTAAAATATATTTTCTTATCTAATAATAATAATCTATTGAATAGTATATATTATTGTTTTATAATATAGTCTTGCTTTTAAATAAAACAATTGCTACGTACGGACCCCTCCCTATACTCCGCCGCTACACATGGGTAGTTATACACAGTATGTCAGTATCCGGTGTACTATGGTAACACATAGATAGTTGAGATGATGTCAGCATTACACACAGATCCTGGGAGAGCAATATTATAAGGGTTAGCAATAACCCCGGTATGATAGTATCACTGTTTCAATTTTTTTTATTTTAAAAAGAATATTTACAATCTATACGCAATAAAGTATAATAAGTAAGTGTGTTGAACATTTGACGTAAAATAATGACATTAATAGGAAGGCTCCCAGCAGTGCCACCTGACCAGTAATTAGGTAATTAGGTTTTTTTTTTTTTAGTAATTAGGTTTTTTTTTTACTATTTCAATTAAACGTTTTAGTCAGCGAAGCAAACATCGAGCTAACCCTAGTATGGATAATCTTACACCAGAAACTTATTATCATGTAACTGTTGCTATTCCATACATAGACTCATTCATTCGGTAATATTAAAAGCAAGATTTTTATGTCATAAAAATATATTCAAAGGTTGGACAAAGAATAATTTTTAATAGGTACTCAAAATATAAATTTATTTTTTAGGCTTTCAGTCTTTATTTTCTGGAACTTATTCAGAAAACTTTGATGAACTTGTTGAATTTTACCTCGATACTGACAAGCTAACAGTTAAAGCTGAACTACATATATGGTATACCAAACTTAATAAGCATGTAAAATATCCGAAAATTAATTAGAAGCGTTGAGACAGTGCGATAAAAAAATATTTCCCAATATACATTTTCTATTAAAAATACTATGCACTTTACCTGTTTCAACATCCACTCCCGAGAGAACGTTTTCTTGTCTCAAATTTATATCAATTTTTTTAAAATTTTTTTGATTTTAGACTCGACTTAATGGCTTAGCTATGTTAGCTATTCATAACTAAATTCCACTAACAGCAGAAGAAGTTTTAAATGAATTGAGCAAAAAATCAAGAAAACTAGATTTTGTTCTTTAATTTTTTACTGTATATTATATATTATTATAATAGTTATAGTGAATATTATTATAATAGTTCCTATATTAGCAATATAATATTTAAATCTATAAATTGAATTTAAAAAAAAAAAATGGTCTTTAGGTAAAAAAAAACTAGCTCTTTCAATTTTACTTGAACCCACCTCCCCCCCCCCCACATACTTTTTCTCTGCACGCCCCTGTACTCACACATTGACACAACTCGGATGTAACTGTGACGTCATAAACTGCCTGATAAGTCAAAGTCTTACTCCTTAGAAAATTACCGACTGGATTATCTAATTTTTAAAAAAAACGTCAGCGTTGAACTGAAGTGGTGTACATTTAGTAGGCTATCCACAACGCCGTGCATACGTACTTTTGTCATTGAAATGCATTGGAAATTAATTACATTTGTAGTAAGTATGAAGTGTCTGCGTAGTATTTACTATATATTATAAATTCATGCTTGTATTTCAATAAATAAAAAGACAAAATTACCTTAACTTTAAAATTTTAAAAATAAAAACTAAAGTAGACTATTTTTTGCTTCAAGCTTTTGAAAGTCGTCAATTTCCACATAAGTACATAACTGATATTTACAACAGTTAACTCTTGTTCAACCGTGAGTCTATAAATTATTTCAATCCTTCTTTTTAATGATCTTCATTCAGATTTTACAGTTAATAATTTTTGTAACGTTTTATAAATTATGTTCAGTTAATTACAGGAATTCCTTTTGCCATAATATTATTATATTGTGCTAATTTTTATTCATTACCTAGTTATACTATTAAAGTACAAAACTAAAAGTTATTTTATTATTTAAATGAAATCTGTTTTTAGTTGTTTTGGGAAATATTGGAAGTGTCCAAAGATATACCAAAGCATAATATTCGTCTGGACAATTTGATTATAATACAAACTATGAAAAGTAATAAGTCGTTATACTATAATGACCGTAGATACATGAAAATATATTCACTGAATAATCATTCAGTAATTTTAGCACTTTTCATACACCAAAATATTTTTATATGTTTTGAGTTGTATACGGACATTATTAGTTGACAATTTTTTTCTAAAAAGTCAAGAAAATTTAATACGAGGCTCATAATATTTTATTGTTACAATGGCAGCTGGAAAATATTAAAAATACAGTCATAATTTTTTTTTAAAGCATTTTAAGTTTGAATTTTTGACAAAATACGTATAAATCACGATAATGTACAAATTATTTTGAGTCACGTCCTCTTAACCTATTCGTCTAATTAGTAATTAGCAGCATAAACATGTAAGTAAGTACACAAAATTTGGGGGGAGGGGGAGTCATAAATGATTGATATAAATAAATTACACAACTATTACTATAACTTGGGGGAGTTTGAACCCCCAACCACCCCCTCCTGCCTGCGTGCCTGAACATATACCTTTAAGACCGTTGGAGCACACCGTATTTTTTGTAGTTTTAGACCAATAAGTGGAAGATTAGTTTATAATAATTAATAGTACTTCCCGATGTCCAATTATCATTTTAAAAATATGTATGAACTCATCATCTCCTTTTCTAGGTTATGTAGGAAACAGATTTTTGATTTTTGTATTCAATAAGGATTAAAAAATATGCAAAAATTTAAAAAAAATTAGAAAATATTTTAATTTTATACACTTACATTCAGTTTTAAAACATCAATTATTTTTCCTACATAACCTATTTTTTTATAGTAAAGGGCATGATGAGTTCATACATATTTTTAAAATAATAATCGGACATCGGGAAGTACATAAACTAATCTTCCACTTATAGCTATTTTGTACCGATTTTAAAGGGTTTTTTAACGATAACATGATAATGGCCCAGATAATGGATTACACACACCAAGATTCATTTACTACTCACACAATGACAAATATATGCCAAAAATATTTTTGCACAATTTCCTAAATTTTACTACTTAAAATATTCTATGCTCCAACAGCCTTAATGTCAGTCAAGTCCACTTAGGTATAAAATACATAATTATTTATCAATCAAATATTATAAATACATAGTAAAAAGAGAAATTCCAATTGTCATCATAGATGCTTATAAGTTATAATATAGTCAATAACTATAAATAACATAATAAAATGCGCACAAAATATATATAACAGAACTATATTACATTATAATTTCAATGTTAGCAAATCACTTCCCGGCAAGACTGGATGATCACAACCCGGCCAAGTCATAATAATACTAAACTAAAATAATATAAAATGAATAACATTTTTTCAGATCGGTTGAAAAAAATATTTATTAACAAAGATGATTAATATAATAACGCAAAACTTACTACAGAATCTATATGTATAATTCAAAATACATCTTAGTCAACACAGTGATAAATTTAACTAAATACAGGTTTACGCTTGCAAATTGTTTCCAAAACCTACAGTAACTAACTATCTATGAGAGAGCACTGATTTAATTTAATAATAATATTATACGTAGTATATATATACAAGAATAGTAACAAATTAAAACGTTTTATATTCGACTGATGGTGTTAATGTGGAGGTTTTTTCTTTTAAATATAAATTTAACAATATATAATATAATATAATAATACTTAAGTGTTATAAATTCAAACAATTTTTTTTTTTTTTTTTTAACTTAATTTTTGTATTCGCTAAAACAATTTTTTTTTATAATCGATTTTTTTTCATTATCACGCGGTTTAACCGAGTTTTCCTTTCTTAAAAAGTAAGTATACGCTATTATATAACAATGTCAGACGAAAGCCACACTAAGGTTTTTTTGTCGTTTTCATATTTTTTTTTTCTTGTTGTTTTGTTGTTTTATTTTTTTTTTTGGTTTTTTTCGGTTTTGATTAATTATAAACTAACAAAATATTGAATCCAATGACATCGTTTCTTTTAACTGATTGTAACTATTAGTGATGGCTTCTTTGATTTGAGCAAATACATTATGGTTATTCACAGACCGTGCTGTGTTCGTTTTTTCGAAAGGTTCTGAAAAATGAAAAAAAAAAATTACCATTACAATATATTGACAATCAAAGTATCAAACAATTTAAAACATCATTTCAGGCAACTTTGAGGAATCAGTTCGATGCCGTTTAGCCAAAGTTCGATGCACATCGCAAACTTATTATGTGGTCTGATAAGGTACTTTTTGTAAAATTTTAAATTTCTACTACACTGGACAAAAACGGATAGATGTATCGATCGTTAGCTTGTACCGGACTCTTAAATCTCATAAGGGCTAAGCACAGATCCAGTGTGAAGATCTTGAAGTAGCCATTTATTTAAAGCGTACCTAACTACCTACCTACCTTACGCAAATATATTCTTCGTTTATTTTCAAAAGTAACATAATAAATTAAACTTCTATTTTTTTACAAGCGAGTAGTTTATTTATTATTATTTCCAATAAAAACATGAATAATATGCTATTAAGTATTAAATTATTAAACAATAAGTTTCTCTGAACAATTAAAAAAGTATGTTTACGTGCCTCTTGACCCTCTCCCTCCCACATGGATCTCAGTCAATGGGTAAGACGCTCAAATTTTTGAATTGCATAATAACCCCATATAAATGTAATGTATGTATAATTTATTAGTATAAATATTACTGTTATTCCTATTAAACATTTTAATATTTAACGATAAAATAAATGTTTTAGGTACATACCTTCGATCCCTATGAATTTCCATTGTCCGGGATTGTTTTTTGCCGCGTCGGCCATCCGACAGCTTTCTAGGGGTATCGGTGATCCCATTCTTACAGACACCGCGTGTTTATAAAAACTATAAATGTATACATCATATTTAATTAGGTATAGTTAAAACCGTAGTTAATAAAAAAAATCATTGAAGTATTTAATTATCTATTGCTATTGGGTAAGTGGGACCACAAATACCACATTTATGCAAAAGGGTCAATTTTAATAGGACGTATAGCAAAGAAAAAATAATGATTTCAAATATTGAAAACATTTTTAATTTATAATATTATTTTCAATTTTCAATTCTATTGATTTATGATACCTACGTGGTTAGGTACATGTTATAATTGTCAACACATAGAATGTCTTGTATAATAATAGATTTAAAAAACTAGCATTACCTATATGATTATTTTTTTTAGGGGGGGAGGGGGGGGAGGCTTCGAAAACTGAGGTCATTAGCCTGTGGAATTGTGGGGGAGGGTACTGTAGGTTTTGAACACGTGTGTTTGTTTTGCCAGAATTTTTAAAGTGGGCACTTGTAGGTATATCTATCGTGCCCGGGTGAGGGATGGCGACCTCTCTCTCTGGTCACCGTGACTGTCTGAAGAAAAATGCCGTCCATGGCTTAGTTCGAACCGGCAACGCCTTAGTCCTCTCGGCCATTCCGTCCCCCATGATTATTATTATTTTTATATAGAACACTAAATAACTTGTATGCATTTTTTTTTATACGCAATTTTATGATTGAAAAAACACTAGGGATTTGATTTAAAAAATATTCGATTATTATTATTATTATTATATTAATACTTACAGGACAACATTGATATTTGATAAATTATATATAAACCATTAACCATATAATTTTAAAATGTCTGGTATTTAATTAATGAAATTAATCAACAGTTAATGAACAGTATAAGTGCTGCGCAGTATATTGTAATTGTTTTTGAAAGTGGGTAAAAAAAATATGTGCATATTTTTAAAGCATATTAACTGTACTTTTTTAAGCGCATAAGTGCATGCATCACACACACACACACACATACTCATAACTTATAAGTAGGTTATCAACTAATAACTATAAGCAATATATTATTTTTACTTGAAATTGTTGTAGTATTCGAAAAACTGCAAAAGCAACTCGCCGAGGCTCTGTTTATTGTCGCTTCTCCAACCACTGCTAGGCAACTGTTCGTGCATGTGCACGAATTCGATGTCAGTGTAGGAAGAGAACTTCATGCCATAGATGCACTGCAGCGACGGTAACACGGGCGGTTCGACGCCTGCGAATCGCAAATACAATATAAAATGTAAATATATGTACTACAGGCAATGCTCGAATTGGTGGTTCGCAGGGGGAAGGAGGTCTCCTCTACTGTTTTTATTTATTTTTCACGTACCCCGATTATATTTTTTTAATTGGAAGGGGGGCGGCACAAACTAATCCCCGAAATAATTCGTATTAAATTGTGGAGTGGATTTCAATTATTGTCAATGATACTCATATAATTATACCTAAAGAAATTTACATTTTTTAATATCAATAATATTTTCCTATGGTTTAGACTTTAGACATCCTAATACCTTGCTATTTGTATTATAATTTGTTTATATCATATCACACGTGTTATTTTCCTAGTGCAGTACCTAGTGCAAGCCCGCATTACGTGGGGGTCAGAGGGGGCGGGATGGCCCCGGGACTACAACGGATATCGAACAATAGTGGGCCCTTGCGGTTAGTACGTTTCCTATAATATATGGATAATGAATATATTATTACTACTAGGCTTCGAGCCCAAAATGATCTTAATTCGGGCTTAACCTAGTGCACGGATATGTACAACAAACTATTATACCATCAAAATAGGTATAGCTATGGACTAGTGTTCGACATAGGTAGATAATATCTATCTGAACCACAAATTAAGATATTATCACTGATAATTATATTTGTATTTCCTATTGAAACACGTAGGTGTTTTGCTCTCAAAATGAGAATTATAATATCAAAAAAATTATTTTTAATTGACTGAATGTTTGAAATGCAATTAGGACAATTTTTTTCAAAAAATAAAGTAAATATAAATCCACATTCACTTACATGTTACATAGTTAAATTATATTATATTTGAAATATAATAAAGCTAAAATTCTATAACTAAGCTGACATGTAGTATTAAAAATGTAGGAAGGGTGTTGTGGGTGGCAAGCCTCTCAAGTGTTAATAATTTTTGCTCTTGGAACGCAGCTTTTAAATCGTTGCATCGTTGCTATTTAATCATTCCCAATTCGAGCACTGTACAATATAGGTACAGACATAATAATATTAATAATTATTAATATTGTGACTGATAACTCGTCTATATATTATATAGACGAGTTATCAGTCACGAACGTTGGACGTTATCGTCATTTATCGTGACGATTTCTACAGGTGATAATAATACATCATCATTCATCGTCTTCGAGCAAAATTTTGTAATTTTTATATAATGTGTTATGTACTTATAATTATATAAGTTATTCATATCTTACTTTGCAAGAAATTGATAACCATCAGCACCAGCGAGTAACTGGATAACGTCATTTTTTTCGGATCGTTGATGTTGTGATGGGACGCCCACAGTTTAATGGTCACTACTAATGGTCTGACCCGATAATCGACTGAAAAACCCATTAAAAACCATTACAACACGATATGCGAGGGTGGGAGTATAGAGCAAAATTGAATATGTATTCTTAAACAAACCATACGTTATCACACCACTGTCACCACTAGTGTAGATACGTACCATACGTATAAATACGTAACAAGTTGTTGCAAATTAATTATATAACTGGTAAATGAAAAATAATATTGAGTCCCTTCCAGGTGTTGTATTATTGATGAATGCTAAAAGTCCCCACTCCCTTGGTGAGCTCCAGAGTCCATATGGTAGATACGCTAATTAATTATTATTATTAATTATTAATAAATAACCATTATGAGGTTTTAGTATAGGACAACTTCTAACTATTGATCTATACCAAACTATAATATAAATAATAATAATGTACTATAGTCGAACAATATTTAATTGAACTAATTATAATATTTAATCATATTACGCACTTTACTATGGTTAATATTAGTTTTTCAATATAATAATAGGTACCTAATTAATAATTATAATCTTATAATTTCTAACTACCAATGTAGAACTGTTAAATCATTGAACATCGTTATTTTACCATAAACAGTCGATTATACCTATTATATTATTACTATAGTACGAAAAGAAGTTGAAAAAAAAAAAAAACGTCCAACTCACGCCTCGAATAGCAGTACAACAGATGGGTGTTGCGAATGCCCACCACGTTGTTGCAGCAAAAGTCCACGTCCATCTTGCAGCCACCGTCGCCGATCCACCGGAACCTGAGTATGGGCACCTTTGCGTACACGATGCGCATTTCCGCGGTGCCGACCTTTCCGTTGATCCGCTCGTGGTCCAGCAATCCCATCAGCCACTGGAGCCGCTCGACGGCGCATATCCGGTGCCGCTCCTCGGTCACGGTCTTGTGCTGCCGGACGCCGGTGTTGACCACCGCGGCCGCCGTGCAGCCGGTGAGCAGACAGAAATCCGCGTCGCTCACGTCGCCGCCGAAACCGTTCATCGTGGACCCGACCAGGTACAGGCCGCAGCCTGGCGCCCAGCTCTTGATCAGCGTCGACAGCCTGCGCCACATGGCCATCTTCGTTTCGTAAACGCCCTCGGACTGACGGTTGTCCAAGTACGCGTGCCACACTTCGGACGACAGCTGAAACGCGTCACGACAATGTTGATGATAGTAATAATAATATAACGTCGTCATGTCGATATATTATAATAATGCAATAACGTATAATATAATTTATTATTATTAAATCATATTATCAGCGGACCTTGATAATATGACCTTGCTATGTCATATATATGGCGTTTAAGGGTGGGCCCAGGGAACCTCGAGTCCCTTAACATTTTGAACATTCATATAGGTACCGAAGATTTGAAAATTTTTTAAAAAGTTTTTATTAATAGAATAATAATTATGAAATTATAAAAACAAGTTGATCGTAGTTCAACAAATATTTTTTATGAATGTCTGAAGTTAAACTTCGAAGAAACTGAAAAATGCAAGCGTTAAACGCCGATTATTTCTTACAAACGATTTTAGTTTTCTTGTTGAAATTCAAAAAATATTAATAGTAGAAACAAGAAACATTCCACTATTACTTGAATTAACATTGTCTATACCCCATGAAATGTTTCAAAATATTTAGTCTCAATTCAAGCTATTTATAGGCATTTCAATTTTTTTTTTTTGTGTGTTGATATCGAATTTGAGACTTAGTCAAACAACTTAATAACTACAAGATACAAGATCCCACATAAGTTGTTCTTCAAGCGGTTTTAAGGGAATCGTAAGTAGTGGTAAATTACACATTACTTCACAATGTCCAATTGTAACCTTTAATGTATACGTATGAATGCTTTGACAAAAGATCTAACACCTAGATTCTAGGCTATTTATGAAGTCAATTTTAAATTTTAAATCTTAAATTTTGTAGAACCTTAGAATGTAATGAAATAATTGCACTTGTAACTTACTGTACAACAGAGCACCTTTTTTTATCTTAGTAGGCCTCAAGGCCACTGATATAATAATGGTAAAAATTGTATTATTGGTAATATTATATAGTGTAAATTACTTTGTAAGATAAAAGGTTAACAAATAATCTGATACTCACTGATTCATTGAGCATACTACGAAGCTTAGAAAATACTACAAACCCAACAGACATTGCAAAGAACATAGGTACAAGGAAAAACCAACGAACTAAAGCTTAGGGGAATAAATATCACTTTCATTTGGGTACCAGGTCACACAAATATAAGGGGGAACGAGACGGCGGACCAAGCAGCAAAGGAAGCGGCACAACCAAATAACCATAATATACAGTTTCTGGACATCGTAACATCAAAATCCAAATTAAAAACAATTCACTAATAAAATGGCAAACGCACTGGTTAAAACAACGAACTAAACTCAACGAAATAAAAAACACAATTCTAAACTGGCAAAATACAAATCTCAGCAGAAGAAAAAAAATTATTATAAACCGTCTCCGAATAGGTCACACAAGGCTGACTCACAAACACCTATAATGGCCAAAGAAGAACCCGCTCAATGCACAGTCTGTGGGGTCACATTAACAGTGAAGCATATAATAACAGTGTTATCAATATTCCGAAGATTTAAAAAAATACAACATTCCACCCAACTTATATGAAGTATAAGCTCTAGGACCGAATAGCGAAAACACATTGAACATGTTAGCCTTCCTCAAAAAATCTGATTTATACACCAAAATTTAAACCTACGGTTAAAGAAAATTGTAATATAAATTTAAATAGTAACTAACTATATATAATTAACACCATATAAATATTGTAATTTTTAACTAACGCTATGTAATTTAACCAAAAACTAATAACCTTTGTTGTTGATGTTTTTTTAAGTTCAATTAAAAAAAAAATAAAATTACTTTGTCTGCCTCGTCCACTTGTATTAGCGAGTCTTCCAGGACAACGTTCTTAGCGTGATTGTCATACCTTTGTGGCTCAGACAGGTAATACGCGTTCATAAACGTTCCGGCTGGTCCTCCGTAAGGGCTCCATTGCCACGGTTTGCAGCACGGCTGATGATCCGCCGCCGCCGCCTCCGCCACCGGTTTTCTAGGTATGGGGTTTCTGGTGGCCTATATAATAGTATACGGGTTGTTGACAATATTATCCCACCAAAAACATATATGTAAAATGAGAGCCAAGTTCAATACTATAATAATATATGCCTTGGTTGTTGACTTCAAGACAAAAGAAGTGAGATCTAAATGGGTGCCAAGTTAGGATAATATATTGAAACCTAAGGTGTGACTTGGCTACTTTTCATATACGAATTATTATTATAAGTACCTACTAAAACAGTAATGGAAGAGTGAAGATGATTTTCCGAAGAATAAAATAAGAACTCAAAGCTTTAGAACTTGCAAATGCTATAATATATAATTCGTAGCCAAGTCACACCTTAGGCTTCAATATATTATCCTAACTTGTCACCCATTTAGATCTCACTTCTTTTGTCTTGAAGTCAACAACCAAGGCATATATTATTATAGTATTGAACTTGGCTCTCATTTTACATATATGTTTTTGGTGGGATATCATTACTTTTTGTATGTAAATTATTATAACCTAACCTAACCTAGCCATGACGTATTCTATAAATAAAGTTTATTACTATATAATATAATTCAGTTACTAATATTAATAATAATATTTATTATAAAATATTTTCCGTTGTATATACAGAGTATAAAATATATGTAAAATAAATATACAATTATTTTAACTCTTTTGAGTATATTTTTAATTATCATAATTTTATTGACTGTAGTTTCTACTGTTGGGTGGATAATTCATAATTTGTAAGAATAATTATTTAATTATTTTAATTGTAATATTTAAAAAAAATAATATTAATTAGGTACATACATAGATAGAAAAAAAAGTATGTTGCTGCGCGCGGGTCGACAATATCGACACATATTCGGCTAGTCGTATTTTTGGAGCGGCGATACGGGAAAGGTTATTTAAGTCAACATTACATTACATTACATTAAATTAGAGGCAATTCATTAATAAATTGAAAAATTAAACATAATAGATAAAATAAATGCAAAATTATAATAAAATCAATTGATTAAAAAATTAAAAATTAAAAAATTAAAAATTAAAAAATTTTAAATTAAAAATTTTCAAGTTTCTGATTTTTTCCTTTGTATTTACCTAACTACCTATCTGTATGCCAAATTTGAACTTTCTAGGTCATCTGGAACTGGGTTAGAATTTTGATCTATAGGTAAGTCAGTGATAAAAATGACGATTTTCGGACGTTAATATCTAAATAACGGTTTGAAGCGTGTTTATGAAATTTAGAGCACATATGTATCTCGTTAGTCTCAATATATGAGCCAAATTTGACATGTTTAAGTGGAATAGTTTTTGAGTTATGAGGGGGTCAAAAGTGGCTCCAAATGGTTCGTGTAATATTACACACGGTGCTGCTCGCCAGTTCTGTTAGCTAGAACTTGGCTTGACACGCTACCGCGTGTCTAGATTATTATTATTGATTATGAATTATGATGATTAACCCACGAAATTCGGCGAAAATAGTGACAACAATTTCGGCCACTATTATCAGTCGGACAACCGTTTTTTCAATAAAAATGTCCTACAATAAATTATTATTATTTTACAATGCAACTTACGTATGCCACCTGATGCAATTTGTGCAGATCGCTATAATATTGTAAATGATGATGTTGTGGTATGTTCGTTTGTGGATTTCCGCGGTTGAACTGTTTCGCATTTTTATCTTTAATAAATGGTGGCAATCTGTATCGTAACAATATCACAATAATATAGGATATTAAAACGTATCAAAAAAGTTTCAATGATTAGAAGTAGATTTTCCTATTTGAGAGGACGACTACCCGCATATCGTGTTGTCTCTGTCCTACTAAAGAATAATAATATATCAGAATGTACGTCTAGCAGTTCCAATTTTATGTTGTTACTTGTTAGCTTAAATATTAGAGTGAAGGTATAGTCTATTAACAAACTTAAATGTTTGAACATTATCTGTGTCCCCTCATTGTTTTCTTACGATATTATATAATATATTATATTATAGTTATGAGTATGTAAAATATAAATATTTGAAAGAGCTCATAATTTTTTTAAAAATTAAAATACTGTAAAAACCTAACGCGGGAATATATTTAATATTTAAACTAACAATACAAAATTGGAACTTCTGGACGTCGGTACACTTTGTATATTATGCGTTAGTAAGACTGAGACAACATATGCGGGTACGACGTCCTCTTTCAGGGTACAAGATTTGTTTGAAAATTAATAGAAAATAACATAATAATATTAATCATGATTAACAAATTAAAAATGAGATGATAATAATTTACATTTGATTTTATAATACTTTAAAGTCAGATACATCAGATTAAATATTTATATATTTATTTGGATATTTTAAATATGCATAAAAAGTACACTTATAATAATTATTACTATTTGTTTTTAATTTGTATACATATGTTATATTATGTATTATGATTTATGGGGTCAAAAATATAGATTTTTTCTCTAGTTTCATAAAAATGTTAACGCTTATATTATAAGGTTCTTCTTAAGTTTTTATTATACCGAGACGTTAAAAAAAAAAATCAAAAATATATACTTACTTAGAATCATACTATTATTAGGTATAACCTCTACACAATGAAATATTAGAAATATTTATATTTATTTTAGGCTAAATGCCTAAATACATACAGTAGGTATTGACTTATAAGATTATATTAAATGAAATAATATTATTATACATTATAATATTATATGAGATTTGTTTTTATCAAAAATTATAGTTCAGGCTATCATATTAGTTATCAATAGAAAGATAAATTACTAATAGCAATATAATTGTATAATAATTATTATCTTTAGAAATATAAGCTGGAAGATCATAATATGAGCTCAGAATCGTTTTCGTACACAACGATTCATGATGAATAATTCATCATTGATTTTAAATTTAAAACATACATAATATTATAACAGTGACACTCATACCTAATACCTAATATTCAATGACGAGGAACACTCAGACCACTTCCCAAATTTTTAGTTTGGTATAGTACGTCTTTCTTACTATAGTTAATATATATTATATAAGTTTTGTATTTTATTTTTAAATGTTTAAATGATTTTCTACTAAAACAATTAACGCTAACTTTTATTTATGAATGCTAATCCATATTATTAGTTTAATACTTTTTGACAATTTAAGTTTTAAGTATTAAAATATTAAAAATAATGATTTAAACGTAAGACTATTAAATTGTATAATTAATGTTATAACTTATTAACATAATGTATAAAGTATAGAAACAATCATCATGTAAGTACCTATAATACTTTAATATCCAACTTATTATTTTTTTGCCCTGAAAACCGTTTACGGTAGCTAAATCTAGGCTATATGGTACCGATATTATTTATTTTAAAAAATAAATAAAAAATATCACTAAAAATACTTTCATTCGTAGATTCAGTCTCTGAGATGTGACATTAGCAGATTTAATCAGGAAAAACATCATTAAACCTTTCTTATCTAACATGGGAAATATAAATGACAATTGTTGATTTGTAATCTGTAGCAAGTATACCTATCAAAGTACCAATCAACATTATAACGCATATTCCGACGTCTACAGACTAGTGACTACAGATAACTCCATAAATAGGACATTTATCAAATAGTTATCTTAATATCGGTAATCAAATAACCTTTGTTGCCACAAGTATGAGAGTCATACAAATTAAATATTTCGTCAAAAATATTATACTTTAACAAATACTGAAATACAGACGTATTTTGTTGGTCATTTTAAACTCAATAATAATATATATAAATATAAATATAGTCGACTCTTGATGATTCAAAGTTGGTGGGACTCATGAAAAATTTCAAATCACCGAGAACTTGAATTTCCGAGTGGTTTGAAATATCAAGAAAGCAATAAACAATTTAATTACTGAGTTATGAATAAAAATGTTATAGCTACGATAATAATTAGATAGTTATCAGGAATAATAAGCTAAATGTATACACAGTTGCAGTAGCGTATCCAGAATTTTTTTTCGGGAGGGGTTATAATTTATTTTTGTGGAATTTTATCTTAAAATGATTTATTAATGATAACGTTGTTATAATTTAACAATTTTCGGGGTGGGTTACAACCCCCAAACCCCCCCCCCTGGATACGCCACTGCACAGTTGTAAGATACATTATTAATGATAAAATTATAGAAAATACTATTGGTGAAAACACTTCGAGTTTCCCATGTCTTAACAAGTTTTGAATTATCGAGTTGACTGTATGCACTTGTTGACGAGTCAGGTGGCAGAATGACTGTAAAAAGTCAAAGATTATTCTAATTCGATCAAAATTTCGTTCTCAAATAAAACGCAGTCGCAAACTGCGGTTCAAAACTGCGTCGTAGTTAGTAATATAATCATATTACACCGATAAAAATTTGACCAAAATCAGGGCTCTACGCCTACCCTGTTTTAATTTTTTTTTCATCGAATTCACTCGTATAATATTGTAAAAATATTGGAAATCAGATGTCAGCAAAACGATGATGACATAATATAATAAACGTGACCCGGCCTCATAATCAACTCCATCCCGAACCAAACACCCACCAATCTCAAGTGTAGTGAAATCTTTGGGACTTGGCCTTCGGAAAAACCGTATAGTAGTCGGTTGTGGGTGTATAATATTATAATAAAAACGACGATATCGCTCACCTGGCAAAGTGTTTGGACATGACTTCCCATTCGATGGCCTCGCAGGTTTCGACGTTGTTGGGGTCGGGACGACGGAACGTGCCGTTGTAGCAACGCGTCGACCGAGTGGACGACTGCGATGACGACGGTGACGACGACGACGACGAAGACGACGACGATGAAGACGACGACAACAACTTCCCGTTGTCCGGTTGGCGGACTTCCGGTCCTTCGCCACCTCCCGTGACGGGCCCCCGGACCGTCGTCAACTTTTTGTTCGGCCGGCCCGGGGCCCCGAAAGCCATCGGCCAGTGATGACGGTCTCCGACGCCGTTCACGCGGCATTCGCTGTCGTATGTCCGGAACCGATCGGTCATTATTGTTCCGGAGGAGTTGCAGTTGTCGTCTGCGTGCCGGTGGTGACGATGGTCATTTAACACGACTATAATAATAGTATATTATTGCTGTACAACGAAACGCGTCGACCACTATGATGCCTAATTGCAGGCCTGCCGCAGTAGTGCCTATTCAACGAAACGCGCCGACCGACTGCTGCAGTGTGCGCGTGCACGATAATATATTTATAATATGCAGGTATAATACCGAATACTCGGCAATCACGTGCCAAACACGTTTGGTATAGGTACAATAAGATAATTAATAACAATAATATATTGTAATAACGATAATATTCGTGGGTCCACGAATGACCGACCCGCTTGCGATAAGTCGGTGGTCGTCGTCGATTTCACGGTATCTCAGTGACGGAGGCGGCGACTTAGGTGATGGTTGTAGTGGCGTTCTTAATGATACGAAAATCCCCCTGTTGCGCCTCACCGCGCCGCACTATAGATAAAGGAACACGATTCTTAAAATAAAAATCGAAATTTTTCTGTATTATACTTCAATGCTGCAGGTAGGTGTACTATAGTTTATGTAATCGCGATACGCAACAGGTATAGGTAGTAGATACCCATATGGCAGCTGATAAAGCGGTTAGGATCGAGTCCTGTTGTATGTCTACTATATTTTTACAAACATTGTTCATTAATAGTAAAAACAAAATTAATTAATTATATTATTTATTATTATTGTTGCTATTATCATTATATTATTTATTATTTATTTTATTAATATAATTATCAATTGCTTCTAGTTTCTACCGATGCTACTAAGACTATACAGTATACATACCTGTCACTGTGTACTACACTGTAGGTACATAAAGAACGATTCAATTCTAACTGCAAACTCACCAATTGTTTAGATCAACTTTTAATAAAAACATTTTACACAATCAGAGTATAAAGTATTTGGATAGTTAATTGAATAATATGAATACAAATCTACTTTCTTATCAAGCCGATTTGTCTACAGTTGACGACTAATATTTTTTATTTCATACTAGGAAGTAGGATATTTTTACAAAAGTGACAACGTATACATGTTAAAACGAAGCAATAGTTTTTTTTTTAATTTACATAATATTGGCTTCCTTACTGGGTATTATATATTTTATAGGTAATGCTTAAGACGTTTAAGTAATAGGAATGAAATAGCAGTGATTTGTTGTGCATTACTCCATTTATCTAGACTTTGAAATATTTAAATAGCTACCTATGCCTACTTATAATATTTTTAATTAGTTATAACTTATAAACAAATAACTATTTGTTTAATAATAGATATTAATTTTTTATAAAAATATTCAGTTTAAATTAAATAAAGTTTAATTTCAAAAATGTAATAACTAATAATGAAGCAGTCAAGTAGGGTCATCGAACTATAGCGATTTCGTAAAATAAATTGACAGATATACCTAATGACTATTTACAGTTGAAATAAATAAATAATAGCTCTTGATAAAGAGTGATGGAAAAACTGTTTCGACTATGAATATTGTCAAATTATTATTATGTTTTTAATATTATATATTATTATGATTACAGATTTCAAACATTCAAGAAAGGGTGCTTATAATAATATGGCACAATATAAAAATTGTATTTAATATGAATCGAAGAAAACGACTTTTATTGCATTTTTCTTTCAACTAAATAATTAATATATCAGTTCAATAGTTTTCACAAACGACACATCTTTTTATTAGATTTATCGAAAACATTTTACTAAATAGTAATGATAATAATAATTATGCTATTATATACAATCCAAGGTAATAATGAATTCATGACAATATAACACCGAAACATAATTAATATCCTCCAATTCTCTCTATACCTATGGCTATATACACAATATCATAAATCATTATCACTATGGGCTCCCATGTTGAATAATGCTGCTTAGGTGCTTAGCCGATGTAGCGTAATGTATAACCCGACACTATATTATAAGAATTAAACATTTGGCAGTTCGATTTTAATAACGAAAATGTCGGAGAGTAAGTTTTTTATATTGCTATTCTGTTCATCGAAAATATAATCTTTAAACTCGTGTCATATGATGTTATGACTCAATGATTTTGAATGAAAATCCTGCTAGTGTTGGGAGACGGAGGTGATTGAGTACTCATTTCACCGGAAAATACGACGCGAAGGGCTGAATAATGACCGTGCATATTAAAAAGAACTACGTGTATCAGCAGATAGGGTGAGTTATATTGAATGTGTGAACTACTATAATGTCAATGCGGTTTAGGACGGAAGTAATTATATTATATATTATTTGCAAATACATAAGAATATGTATTCAAAATGTGAAAGCAATAAACGCTATAATATAATATAGGTAATATTATTAAAAAAATATGTTTATGCATATTATATTATAAAAAACGTGTGATATTATACTATACACAAATTCTAAATGAAATTCGTCAGAAATATACCCTGACTTTTGTATAGTTTCAGATTATATAAATTATGTATGTATTAACAAAGAGAAATGTAACATCTCTTTTTATTCTAATGGACAGATTATAGCTAGCTACTTTACGTATCAATTATTCAATTAATTTATATATACCTAGTTAAAATAATAATTAATATTATTGTACACAAACTCGTTGAAATACAACAAATACTACAAATATTACTTACAAATAAAATACTATGAATAACAATATTTAATTGAGTTTTTTTTTCACTCTTACTTTCGTTTGACATCAACACATGCCGTTTCAGAACGTTTATAAACTCACTGAGATGGTATTATTTTTATTTCGGAATACCATTTTAATATTTTATTAACACTTAATAATTTTTTTTTCTTATTTATACGAGTTGTGAGGATTATTATTAATTTTTGAAAATTTATAATATGCTAATTATTTAAAATAAACTAAAACCCGTATAGTCAAGCATATTGTGGTTATTATATAATACATAAACAGGTAATCATAGTAACAATCAGTAATAATAAAAAAAGGTTTTTGATAATTTAAATTGTTGTTTGGCCTAACCTGGTAAAAAAATGTCAAGTAAATTAAATCAAAAACTATTAAAACTACTAACTATTTTTTCATTATTGTTTGAATAATATCTAATACAGTAATACCAAATAATTTAATACACGTTTTAATTATTCTGTTTATTAAATACAATTAATAACTACAATAGAAATACATAACTTGGTATTTTATTTATAATTTTCGAACCTCAGCTAGTTAGTAATTACTAATTAGTATCTATTCCTAAACAATTTTATATCGTTAAAACAAAATCACAAAAAAAACATATTGCACCATCGAAAGTTTTCTGAAAATTATTACTTACGCCAACCCCCTACCCCCACCAAGTGACGGTCCTGCCACTAACTATGTACTTGAATTGCCTCCCAAATTTAAGTGGATGACCTTTTTTCACTCGAATTGCCTCCCATAGCATACCTATCTAGATTATTAATTAATAAATTGATAATTTCACGTGTACTATTGATTAATTTATCGATTTCCGCAGTGTTCAAAAATATTATTTTTAAACATGCAGTATTTCCCAGACAGATTAATTTGTTAAATGCAATAATCTTGCCAATCACTGATTATCAGTTAAAGATTAGTCAACCATCGCCAGTTCAGCATATCTATAGGCAGTTTCGTTTGCGCAATCGTTACCATAAATAAAACGTTTCATAATTTTATAAAAATGAACGAATTATTAGTGAAAAAGGCAAGACAATTTTAATGTGGGTCGTGGGATGGGTTTAAGTTCGGATTTGATAAAGTTGAATTTTTCATCAACTCACCCTCATTATATATACATTTTTAGATGTATTAAAATCATATTATATTGTGCACTGGAAACGACATAGTCGAGGGGGGTCGGGGGACAGACACCAAAAGGTTCCTCCCACTTGGGGACCCAATGTTGTGGTGACAGAACTGTGAAAAACAAAGGTACCTATAGTACAACATGTTTCAATATGTATATAGGATAGGTACGGGATACACAGGTTATGAGTATAATGGGAGTTATATAAAAACTTAACTGAATTAATTTCAAAATGAAATGACTAAGGATTATTTATAATTCAAGAATATAAATAAAACATAATATAACAATAATTATTCATTATAATTTATAGATACATCAAATAATTTAGTGGTAAAAATAGTGTAACACCGACTGAACCAAGGTTTTTGAAATATAACCAAATAATAAAAATAATAATAATACAATGTATATTATATTATAATAGGAAACGAAATGACTAGATAGTTACAATGAGAATCAAGTCTAATCGTTTAACAACGTTCGTGATAGTTAAAAGTATGTTTTACATAAAATGACAGATAAAAAAAAAATCACTCTCACAATTAATATTTATTATGACCTATATAATGCCACATAATTTATTTTTAATCTGAATTTAAATAGGTACATTATCAGTTATTTTCAGTGGAGTATCCAGAATTTTTTTCGGGGTGGGGGAGGTTAAAATAAATTTCATTAAATTTAAATAGTTTATTAATGAAAATGTTGTTATTATTAAATAATTTTCGGGGTGGGTGTTACAGCCCCCTAACCACCCCCCTGGATACGTTACTGGACTTGTTTGTAGATATTGTACTTAGTTAATTCCAAGATTTGTCTACTAAATCTATTTCAATGCGTTCGAACAATAAAATATAAATATTTATGAAAACTCGTACAGTATTTACTAATTAATTAATTATTACATAATACCTAATATATAATAATATTTTAAAATTAAAATTATTGATTGTGTATCACAATGTCTTACAATAAAATCATACTATGTAACGGTCAGTGGCGTATTTACGGGGGGGGGGTCCCCGGGTCTGGACCCCCCCCAGAAAAAAATATAATATAATTATTACATCGTAACTCGTATGTGTTTTTTTTAATACGCCACTGGTAACGGTAAACGGACAACGATTCTTATATTATTTAATTATTTATGGGAATGTCCGAATGTCCGATATAAGGTAAAAAGTTATCAGCTGAACTCGATAACTAAGTATACCTACCCAAAATTTGAATTATTTTGATGTATTATAATATTATTTATTAAATTATTCTAAAATTATTACCTATATGTAACGATAATATTGTAATGCGAAATGTGTATGCGGGTAAACACTGTATAAAGTAACTATAGTAGATAGATATATTATGTAATTTTTACTTTATGGTTTATACACATTTAGAAATGATATCCACAAATTACTAAAATCCTGAAGATGGATGTATTGAAATAAAATTATAAGAACAATTGATTAGACAATTTTGTGATAATAATAATTTATAGAATACTATATTATGAGGACGTTAAGCCGACATTTGTTATCTTCTTCTTACTTTTGCGTAACATAGCAAATTTTGGGCTCAGCAGATTACGTTTAACTCTGTTAGTTTAAAAATTAGAGTGAATTTACTCCTAATACAATTTAAACATAAAATTATTCCCTATGGCAACTCATAGGCTTTTTTTTATATTTCAATTTTAAAGCGAGTTATGAGTATTTTAAGATATACAAACAATTTACAATTCTAAAATACTCAGATAGTGCTTTAAAATCAAAATATGACACTCTAAATTCAGAGTAAATTCACTCTAATTTTTAAACTAACAGAGTTAAACGTGATCTTCTGAGCGTAAAATTTGCTATGTTATGCACTTGTAAAACGGAGACAACAAATGTCGGTGTAATATCCTCTATTATGGTTAATTAACTATCCACTCTAAAGTATTCAACATTAATATTAATGTTTACACTCAAACTATGATCTTCATTAATTGTATAATAGTTTTGTTAAAATAAATTAGTACCTATCAGAATATCAATTTTTTTCTCCATATACAATATAAATAAGTAATACATAATATAATATAGGTACTTAGGTATCATGACTAATTAAACTATTAATTATTAATCTATACTATAAAGTTTTGGAACTAAAGAAAATAATTAAATGACATTTTGAACATCATTAATGTACGTAAGAGATCTAAAACCACAATATATTCATTCACATATACAGGGTTATTCAAAATGATTCATCCGATTTAAAGTGCTTATATTATTTTATTTCTTATGTTTAGAACAACATGTTATACATTAAATAAAAGAAAAATATGTCAAGTTTAATTAACTGTATCAATAAATGTTCTATATGAGCTCCTTTGGTTACACGAATAGCATCTAGTCGGTAGTCAAATTCATATACCATACTTTTTGCAGCAAATCTTTTGTAATCGACTCCATGGCTGTTGTTATTCATCTAGATTTGATGGCAGCGGTGGTATGTACCTACACAGTGGCTTTAACATATCCCCAAAAGAAACAATGGCTTCAGATCTGTATGCCATTTTATATCGGATGAATCATTTTAAATAACCCTGTATATTATATTATTTATATAATACTGACTGCGGGTTACACAAAAATTAAAAAATGTCGTTTGATTAAGTAGCATTCATTTAACATATTTTGAACTATGCATTTTGGCAACACTTTACATTTTGATCATTTTGACCGTCTTTATTATTTCCGTGTTTCACGTAATCTACAACTAATTCTAATCCGATTAGAGCCGTTAAATCCTTACAGTTTTTTTTTTCGCCACCTTCGGTTTGCGCTGTCTCAGGACCATCCCCCTCCACATCGATGATTTTTTCCTCCTCCGGCGCCACTTGCCTGTATATTTTCGTCAAGTTTCCCATCAAATAACTCGTCCCCTGTTTATTGCTGATGTTTTCGAGTTCTTCGACTTTGGACGGTTCGGGTACACGGAACGCCGAATAATGTCTGTCCTGCTTTAACGGATCCGAACGTATTTGTAAGTTCAGCGGTTCCGCTTCCGGAGTCTTAAAGTACACCGGCGGATAAGTAGATGGATAAAATGGAGGATACCATAATGGAAATTGCGGTTCCGTTTGTGAGGGTGGCGGTATTGGTACGAAATCCATTTTCTTTTGCTTGGCTTCAGACGGTAGTTCGGCCTTTCCGCTATCCTTCCAGGTCCGCTTTCGTCCTCTTTTATTTAAGGATAAGGGTACACAAGATTTTGCCTGAACGAATCTTTTCAGCATTTCGCTAAAATATAATCCCGGTGGTACAAACGTAGAGTTGGTTTGATACGGTGGCGTGGCTGCTAATAAACGACTTATCAAATCTCCATTTCTAAAGTCCGACGGAGACTCGCGCATTGTGCCCGACATAATCTGAAAAGGATAAAGAATATTTTTATTAGGAGTTATATTATCGTAGTGTAACAAAATCACAAATACATTCGAAACAATAATGCGTTCGATTATTATAGTCAACTACAGCTATACATAATATATGCTAATATGTATACGAATAAAATTATTAAAAGTACAACCAAAACTTAATTTTCGAATAACTATATAGGTATGTAGGCTAACGTACCTATACATATTGCATATCTATTATATTATAAACTCAGATCGCTTGTTGGTCATAAAATACTAAATATCAATTGAGCAGGTACCTATAGTATTTTATATAATATTATAATTATAAGTATTATAATGAAACTTCTTAATAGTATACAATTTTTAAGACATAAATCATAATACATTTAAGTCAATTAATATGACTTTCAGTGAGAATTCCGTACGTCAATTTATTATATTATAATAATACCCTGCACATCGGAATATCCACATACTAACTCGAGTCTGATCGAATCATGTACCTATACATAATAATTTATAATTTTACAGAGAGTGGCAAAGTGCGCAATGATTATGTTCGCACAAAAACAGTTGTACCGAATCATTGTGATTATTATAATTTTATTTTTGGCCGATGACAATTTGAACACTCCAGAGATTTATGTGAAAGTTTTGAATTACAATTGGACGTTGCGCTGCGGAGTGGCGAATATAAAATTCGATTTGTGAGTGGTCTCGTGGCGTCCAAAAATATAATAATATAATAATTTATAATTGGTATATATATATACACTGCAGCAGCGGAAAATAATATATGCACGTCTAGTTAACTATAACCCCAGGACTCATTAGTCATCATCGCCCTCGACAAACCGCATATGCATATACGTATGTGCCCGTCCCCATCATATTATATTATATTGTACATATTATGTATATACCGCATCCGGCCTTTTCGGCGCAAAAGCAAAAAACACGCAATCACGTCGAATGGACTTCGTTTTGAATTTACTACCTCCACCGTAATTGTATTCAACGATCCACCCCCAGTTGCTCATATTATTATCATACAAAAACTATACCTGAAAACGCGAGTAGTGTATAATCTCATCAAATTTTCACGGGTTTGTGTAAACTAATTTACACCATTTAAATTGAAAATATAATCGTTGTGCGTCGAGCAATAACCGCACTGGACGCCATTTAAAATATACATAATGTGCATAATAAAATATCATACGCAAGGTGATTATTTATCACTAAACAGTAATTTTCCCTGAAAATGCATGTTGTTTTTAAAAACATTATTTTTTACCATGAAATTTGAAAAAATATATATTTTTAACTTTTTTTTTATGTTTGTAACTTTCTGAATTACCACAATATTATAAACATTATAATTGATGTGATATTCCAAAGCAGAATAATCTTTCAAAGATGTCAGTGTATAAAAAAATATTTTTAAAAAAACATAAGTACATTGATCGGCGAAATAATTTCTCGGTTAACAGACGAATAATATTGATAGGTACATAAATTCGCTCAATTCTAGAAGTTATTATACAAAAATTGGAACTCCAGATAAAAAAAATTAAATTTTGTAATATTATTACCTATAGTTTGTTAATTTGTATATTTTCAAGGCATTTTTCTTGTTTTCTGGGCATATTATTTAAATCTGTGGCCAGTTAATGGTCTTTTATTTATATGTATATAAATATCTTAAAATTCTATTTTTTGTACATAGGTTATCCACTCATCCCCTCTCTCAGTTTCTCCATAACACAAGTTATGTATGTACTACACTGATTTTATATTAATTAATAATATGCAGGCACGGCACTAGAATTTTTTTCCAGGGGGGGCAGAGTGGGGCAAATATTTTTTTTACATGGGCTAAAATTGTTTCAACAAATACTGAGGTTATTTAAATGAAATATAAATATTTTCGTATAACATAATATAGCTATTAGCTATATAGTACATACTTTTATATTGTATGCTCTAAACGTCTAAACATATAATATTTACAAACTTTTGAATAGTTAAAAATGTTTTAAGAATAATATCAAATATTTTTTTTTGTACCTTTACTACCTTATGTAATATGTAAGAAAATGTTTAATCACAGACCTAAGACCTTCAACAGCTATATTCATAATGATAACATGATATACAAAAATATTAATTTCTTTATGAGCTAAATATTGATTTTTTATATAATATCTGTTTATGCACCATACAGTAAATGATTGAAAATCTTATAATATTGAAAAAGTTAACAAAAATGTATACAATTGCACTGATATCAGTAGGAATACAATTTGTTTTAAATAAAAACTTTTGATTACCTACCTTATATTTAACTAGTACATTTTAAATTTTTAATTCAATACATTTTTAAATTGGTATTTGCATAGTAGTGTATGTATTGACTATTGAAGTACCTACTTTATATTTTTTGTTAAATTTTGGAGGTTAAAATAGTTCATATATATACATTAAAACATAGATACTTTAAGAAATCCTTTTTTATTAATTATCAAGTAATATGTGAACTAATTACCATGACAAATAAGATTATAAAAATAACAAAATAAGAAAATTGAATAAATTGTTTAATTATTTTAAATAAGAAATTTGTCATGCTAATTACCAAACTAATATAGGTAAGTAGGTAGGTACGAATACCAACTCCTTACACAATAGTATTGTGTTAATCAAACATAAACATATTTAAAATAATAAGTCAACTAAAAATATTTTTAACTGTATACAACAAACATTAATTATATCGTACATATTTTTCAGTGGGGGGGGGCTGGCGAGGGGGCTGATCTGTTTTCTGGGGGGGCTAGAGCCCCACCTTGCCCCCCCTTGGCGCCGTGCCTGATAATATGTTATTGCGCTTATTGGCAACCGGCGATACAACAATACGAGATATTAATATGATTACATATAGTCGCTACCCTCATCGTAACCGTATAACTATGTGAGTATACAATGTGTCCCCTGAAGAAGTAAGAATATAATAGTATACCTTAAGTTATGGAAAAAAACCCTTTAAAGGGCAGGTCTAAGCTTTTTATTTTTTTATTTAGGGCAATTCAAAATGTTTTCGTTAACAAACGGAACCTAGCTACAGCACATTTTCTGATGTACTTTTAAAACTTTTCTACTTTTTATCGTAATTTTTGTTTTTCTTTAAAGTTATTTTACCGAGATATCCACTGACATACACAATCAAATCAGAAATGAACAAATTATTATTATTAAATTATAAAAAAGAATATTATGTAGAATAATAAAATAAAAACTGTGTAGTAAATACTCCGTTATTTTGATTTATACGCTATTTCTTGTAAAAATGTTAATTTTTGACAACTTTTTTTTACTTTTTTAATTAATTCTACTACTAATATAAAAACAGTAATAATATATTCCTATTATGGGTATCATGGAAATGTTATGCTTAAACACCGTATGTCCGTATCTATAAACACTTATAGCAAGTGTAAGATATGGCGTTCTTACTTAGTACTTCTAATTTTTTTTTGTTACCCACAGCGTTTTCAGTAAGAACAATAATTGAGTTTATAGCCCATTCAATGATTTTTCAGGGGTTTTTCTTCTACAAACATTGTGTACAACTGATAAACCTAGATCAGATGCTGTCCTAGCTCATTTTAAACATTTTTTTAGTTAGATACGGCAAGTTTGCTTATAGCAGGGCAGTATATATAAGTATATGCTTGCATAATATTATTGTTTGCGTCGCATGCCCGCATTAGATATCATCGTTGTCGCGATATTGGAACTATATTAGATTGCTCATGGTCAAAGATTATAATAAATTATATTATTATATTATTACGACGTACCTACTACCTACTATGTATAGGTTTTTTTTTGGAATCGTTATTATAAATATTTCGATTTAGAGAAAAATAAAAATAAAATATTTGAAACCAACCGATGAGGAGGCGAGGAAACCGGAAACAAAAGACGTGACAGGGACCGCGCGTCGGTCGGTCGGACCCGCTGCAGATAATGCGTATTATGCACAGTTGACAACCGGACAGACAATGCGAAATAATATTCTCGTCTGCGATGCGAATAATTCAATTATCGCGAGTAAATGGGAAATTCGAACCCAATTTGCACTGCGCTGCACCGTCAATCCCCTCTACATTTCGCATTTCCATTGTATCACATATTATACACTCGCGCGTGCACACACCCGTACAACATTACAACAATCGCTAGAAATACACATATAATGTGTGTCCGTGTGTGTGTGAGTTTGACATTCACGTTTCCTACGGCTATACGTTTGTCATTTAGGGGAACAATCATCCCTTCGTGTTCTCTCCGCGGTTAGGTATACACTATACATATATTACACGAGGTCTCCTAAAATCCTATATTATATAATAGGTATAATAATATTATGTATATGTATATTATATTGTAATATGTACATCATATAGATAAATGCACATTGAACGCATATCTAGACTATATACCTACCTACGTAGACACACGCTGTCACTCGCACATATTATATCTATGCACCGCAGTGATTAAAACGATTATCGTCGCTGTACGAGAAAATAGGTACAACATTTAATTCACTAAATAAACTTTTAACTTTTCAATTTTAAATAATAATAATAACATAATAACATCTGATTATATAATATTACTATTGCATGGCGTTCGGATGTCCCGATGTCGTATATATTAGCCACATTACTAGGTTTATTTTTCATCTATACAGGTCTATTACTGCGAATAATGAGTAAAGTTTCATATTATTATATTAGTTTCATTAATCAGTACTTATTTACTTATTAACTTTACAAAGTATAGAACAAAATATAAATATTACAATTTAAGTTTAAGACTATTTATTTCCTGTCTTTTATTGGCTATTAAATAGTTTTCTTTTTTGCGTTTTCACAAAGTAAAGATACCTACTTCCAATCGAGAATTTTGGGGAGGAAAAACATATAATATTA